GCAATTGCACTGTGCATTACTTGCTTTGTGTATTATTATTATTTTATTTCAATTATTAAACTGTTTTTATCTCAACCCACGAGTTTCTCTCACTTGTGCTCTTCCAATTCTCTCCCCCATCCCACCGGGGGGGTGGGGGGGGAGTGAGCGAGTGGCTGTGTGGTGCTCAGTTGCCGACTGAGGTTAAACCACAACATGTCCTCACAAAGATGCAGATAATATGGCTCTGAGAAACAATTCTTTGCACTCTGGCAGGGGCTGATTAAAGGATGGCAACTAACATCTGTGAACTTGCCATTTCTGCCATGTCTTCTTCATGCTGGAGTTGCAGGGCAAAGCAACAAATCCTTGTGGATGCCCACCTCAAAATACAGATTGCTGTGATTCTGGGCCCTAATACTGAAATGTCTCTTGTATTGTAAATGTTTACCACTGAAACATGGATGAAGCAGCAATTAAAAATAGACTGGCTTGAATACAAAGTAGTAGCAAGGAGAGAGAACAAGAGTCTGTCCCTGGGAAGGGACTCCTACTGGAAAGGAGGAAAATGTGCACAGAAATGGAAAGGCTATGGAGGACAAGATAAACACTCTCCTTCAAAACATGGAATTGCATTCAAGATTTGATTTCCTTTCCTGAACATTCATTTATGTTAGCGAAGAGCACTGAATCTACTGGGAAATCCTGCATCTCACACTCCCTCAGTGTCTGATCCATACAGGTCTGAATATCTTATCTCCGTCACACGCTGCAGGCACTAAGGACTTGGGTTGTAGAGTCTGCTTGTCACCCTTCTCCCTTTCCTGAATGATTCATGTGACACATCTTGCGCCTGTTTATCCAGTAACACACGAGAGTTGAGATATACATAATTCAAAGAATGATGGACATTTTTCAAACAAAAAGGCAAAGTTCTTACCTCAAAGAATTTACAGTCTAGATCAACAGATAATGTAGACGTACATAGATGTCTAATCAGGTAGAGGTGACAAAGCAAGAGAATGAAGTAGTACTGAAATTTCTTTTCCCATCACATCCTGCTTATAGTAACTGCCTCCTAATTACTGCTTCTTCGCTACTCTTTTCCATTGCCCTTTCCCTACATATGTTTCCTGGTATTATTGTCAAATATAGCGTGGAAATAACTAATAGAATAGTTCAGACATATTTTCCTGAGATGCCAAGTGGGACAAGACACATGACAGATTAGCCACACAATTTACTGATTTATTAGATATACAGAAGCTTTCTATGATGCATACAGAACTAGAGTATACAGAGATTAACACACACACATTCTTCCAGATTCTTACATTCCAAAAGTTTTATTTTTAAACCTAACCTATAAATATCAAGTTTTGCTTTAAAATAGTCACTGCTTATAAATGTTAAGTAAACAGTCACGTGAGAAAACTCATCTTTTGACTAGCTTGCATCTTGTAGGACTTCTTTGAATTTAATGATTCTTGTGAGTTGACACTGCAATTTATATGAGTTTATTTTACCACTATATTAATTTATCAATACAGCCCATAAAGGAAATGCAAAGTAACAATCTAACTAGAATAATTTTCATTTAATTTGATTGCCTCTACAGGAATCAAATTATTTTTAATGATTTGTATAGCATTTTCACCTCTACTTTTGATGACTTTCTGTTGTTCATACTGGCTGATTCAATTAGAATTACCTGAAATGGGTAATGGATATTAAATATATGACATACTGTACCTCTCCCAAAGAGAGTTGTGCTGTATATCTGCAAGAATCTCCTTATTTGCTTAACTGACACAGTACCTATTTAAAGGAAGTACTGCTAACATGGCATTTTGGTGCAGCGGCACTACAGGCTGAACAAGTTCAGTATGTTACAGGGGAAAGTAAGTCCATGAACACAAGTGTTACACAAGTGTTTTGTAGATGAAGGAGACAGCCATAACAGACATATTTCGGTGATCAGGGCACTACTAATCTGATAACAGTTCACTAGGATTGTACCAGGTTTAGTAGGTTAAAATTAAAGGTTGTAGTTAGAATTTGATTTCTTTATAACCAGCAGAATAATTAACATTTTAACAGAGCAAATTCTTCAAGCTTAAAAGATTTTGTGTAGCAACAAATGAGTGCAGGGTATCTGCAGGCCCAGTTAGGGGCTTCTGGGAACATTGTCTTGGGAAACGGTCTAATTTCAAGTATTATTTTCAAATAGTAATACTAAGTCAAAAAGTATTTTAAAAATATTTAAAAATATATTTAAGTACGACTCATCAATTGTAATCTTGCTAAGAGACAATTCACTGAAAAAATGGCTCAGTGCAAAACATATGCTAACAGCTATTGTATCATTTATTCAGAGTTTAAGGCTATGAAAGTACACGTAAGTAAATTTTTGGTAATTTCTCTATCAACAGGTACATCTTTATAAGTTTTAGATTCTAAGGTTCTCTAGAGTTGTTGCATTAACGATCATCTTTAACTTTATCCTAGTGACAGAAAATAATTTGCGTTGTAGTTGCCATTTCAGCTTCTTATAAAATTGTCTCTCTAGTCATCTCCAATATGAATGAAGGATCTGAATTAAGCTGAGGGGGTCTATTAAAATCTATGTTTGTTAATTTTATATTTGACTTTTGACAAGAAGTATTTAGTTAACAGTCTCCTACTTTTAAGTAGAAGTTGAATAAGCTATATAATTAAGCCTATTCTTCTTTAAAATATCAGAGCAAGATTTTCTTTGTTTTTTAATCATCTGCCTTTCTCCCCCATATTTTATACAAAATATGGGAAAAACTGCTGTTAATCTCCAAAGTGTGAATTGGTAAAAAACCTGTGCAAGAGCAAACAAAATCAATAAAAACCAAGAGAGGATGGTGAATTTAAAAAATTATTCAAAATATTTAGAAAATAAAAGACTTTTCCAGATGATTATTTAAATTAGCTCATGGGATTAAGGGATGTACATCAACTCTTACCTTCCCAGTAACAGGCCTTTAGATACAAGTCAAAGGTAACATTTATAAAAGTGGATTCAAATATAAGAAGTACTTCTACAGCAATGCTTTGGTATGTGCTCCTTTCATATAAAGTATTTTAGTAAGTATGCGATCATAGATTGGACTAGAAAAATAGGCTTGAAGATTTTAATGAATCTTCATTTAGCAAATATAAGCCATGGAACTATTTAAATGCTTTAAAATTAATATGCATAGAAGTACACACACCTTAAAGAATTCTTTCTTTTCAACTTGTTCATTGCCATCTGTATCCAACATTTTAAAGGCAATCTGAAATCCAGTCTGCGGTTCTGCAACAAATCGCGAAAGAACTTTATTGTAAACACACACACATACACTAGTACTTAAATATTTAATGCAAAAGGAATATTGCCTATGGTTCAGTTCTCCATTGTTATGCATGTACATGATATTTCCAGTAAACCGTATGTACCTCCTCCAATACAAGCAAACTTTTTAAACACCTTTTTACTACCATTTCAAAGGATAATTAATGCAATGGCAAAGCAAGAAATGCCAGCAGTACAGCCACAAACATCCATTTGATCCCAATGACTGTGAAAATGTTGTTATGTCTTACTGTCCTGGTCTTAGATATTCTCTACAGATGTCTCCATAATCCTATGTCACTTCTGAAGTCTAGTTCTGCCTTGTTTATTGGAGCTCCTTTTCAGGTGAGAAGACTGGAAAGTGCCTTGAGAAACCAATAATTATTCCCAAACTGCGTGAAAGAGCTAGTGTACTCCTCAGGTACTTCTTGCATGCATTACTGTATGCCAGTATTTGCAGTCTACCCTAGTCTTCCCTAGCAAACAGACTGATCTTGTAATCGTGGCCAGCTCTCTCAGCTCCTGCTCCCACTGCGTTAGCCCCAGGCCTTTTTTCTCTTCACTTCTCCTCCCTCCCTAAACCATGTACTCAAATGTTACTGAAGTAATAAATCACTCTTTCTGGCCTTTCTGGACAAAAGCATGTTTTGTATGACTCCCATCAAGCTGATTTTTTCAGGAATTTTATGCAATTTTACCCTGCATTTCCCTCACCGAGTGGATGTTTCTTTTCAACACAAAAAATGTAATGAGTTCGGAGCCTTGCAGGTGCTATAAAAACACAGTGTGTTTTGAGCTCCTTCCCACAATTTCCTGATCTTACTTTGCTTGCTTTGCCTTGCTCATTAGCAAGCCCACACAGGAGCAGCATGCCACTGAAATGTAGTTACAGTTCACTGCAGTAGCAAGCACTTATCCCAGTAATTTCTGGAGCAGGTGAATTAATTCCACAACGCAGTCAAGTCAGGCATTAACATGAAAGCCACGGACTTATCATCTCTAGAATATATTCATGTTTCCAAGAACAATGTTGGACTCATGAGGGCAGTGAAGCAGTATCTCTAAAAAACTCTAATGTCTTCAGAGTTTTTCTTTTGGAAATATATTTTTCCAGCTCCATCCTGTAAAGTTTTAAGTCTTGCTTTTTTTTTTTAGAGAATCTTTCTGCAAAGGAACAAGTTAAAGAAATATCACGTTCCTTTTAAGTGATAACAAGATGGTTAAAGAAAGTACTATTTTTACATTTTAGAAATAACTACATCTTCAGCAGCCAACTAACATTCTCTGTGGAGCAACCTTGTGATGCAGGGATATTTTATAAATACTGTTGCAATCTGCATAGCAGAGCCCTTCCCCAGCAACTGGGTTGTAATAATCAAAACTGGCTTCCTTTCCATGGAAATGCCACACACTAAATTTGCGTTACTAGTACAAAAAGCAACAAGAGCCTATCCTATAACATATTTAGCAAATAAAAGTAATTGATGTATTTAATAGTAATTCATACCATCTGTATTGCAATTTTCAGATAAGAGAGCTGTTACTGAAAATATAGGACCTAAAGCTGCTTATACTGTTCAGAGATGACATACTTATCTGATATGATGTAACCCCAAAGGTATGTGTTCGTAAAATAAGCGTAGTTCAAAGACTACCTCAGATATATTTGTATTTAATTAGAATCAGGCAAAATTCCAAAATGCGAACAGAAGAGCTTCATCTTAGCTGTAAGCGCAGGTTAGACTTTGGTGCTTGCCCTGCAACCATTCCTACGTTGACCAAGCTGCCAACTTGTGTGACTGGCTAATTGAAATGAAGCTTTGAGTCAAGGTGACAATTTCAGTTCCTGGGCTCCTTCACCAGGAGCTCCATTAACCAGTTGCTGGAAATGAAATTCAGTACAGCACTGGAAGAAAAAAGATAACAATGATAAAAGGCACACAGAAAAGAGAAAAAGGGATCACAGGGGGCAAAATAAAGCCTTTGTCTGCCGCAAAATTACATTTTCAAGTTCAGTGTTGTTACGGATGGTGCTTTTGTATGACAGGCAGCATGGTCTGGTCAGCAGTGTCCTGGAACCAGGACTCTGGAAACCTGGTGACTCTTTTCCTGTTTCCCTATTGCTCTGTTGGTGACTTAGAAGAAGTCATTTAAATATTAATGGCTGCTTTAAGAAATTTCACATTAATCTTCACTAGCGAGAGAGACAGGTTGTGTAACTGGGGGCTGACTGACATGGGATACTCGTTAGGCAACGACAGAGGCACTAACACTTGTTGACATTTGCTTTCAAACTGATCAGTATGATAACCCTCTGTGTAACCAAAGCAGGGACATTAGCACTGCATTTTTATCCTGCATCAAAAGATGTCTTTGTTTTTGCAGTTCAATACATTCCTATATAAATTCTGTAAAAAATAATGTTACTTGATTGTCTGGAGAAGTGGAACAACTTGCTCTGATACTGTTTCACTTTTCTAATTGTTTCAGCAATAAATCAGCATGAATTTACTTTCAGTTGCCACAGATTTTTAAAGAAATAGAATCTTTGGCACCTATTTCTGCAACTTTAATTAAGGTATTCTTCTGAAGTTATAATGTGGTTGTGCTTTTTTTTTTTAAAAATCCCTCTTCTTTGAGTTGCAACAAATATTTTTAAATCAACTTTCTAACTGGGCTAGACATATTATTTCTGATTTTAAAAAGCACTTGAGCACATGATATAACTCATGTTAAAGTTGTGTGTAGCACTGGACAGTCACTACTGGTGAAACAGTACATTTGTATGGTAAATAGGTTATATTAGTTTATATACACTAATTAATATTGTGTACTAGTTGAAGTTCCTAGTAGAAACCAATGCAGTTCTGCTGAGAAATGACGTAAGCTGTAAGAGGCCTACCTTAAACTGTGCGAGAGGTGTGTACCGACAGTCATTGTCTGTGAAGACTGGACTCTGGAGACCAACACTATTCTTACTACACCGTGACAGAGTGGATTTCTAGAGCAAGGAAAATTTGTCCATTTGTTTAAGCCCTTGCCATGGACCTTGCAGCCATGGAAGTGATGAGGCTCAAGCATCTACAGCCCACTGGGATAAGAGCGACTGCTTCCTTCTCACCTTTCCCCATCCACTGATACCATGAGATCTAGTACGCCTGGTTTTGTCCCTTGCTTAAAATGTTAGACCTGTATAAATCAGTCAAACAAGACTGCATGTGGACTACTTCACTACTAGTCTATGGGTCTCACTGCGTAATGCTCATTGCACACATCTTACCTCAAATCACGGTATTTTCCAGCATCACCTACACTTCATCAGAACAGCATAGGGAGGTGGCAAGCACAGCAAAGAGTAAGTATGGGTGAGGAAACCCAGAAAATCCAAGATCACTTCCACACACAATCAAAAAATGCCTGCTGTTTGCAGATACAGCAAGTACCAAGGAAAAAAGTTTTTTTTAAAAAGTGTCTGATAGAGAAAAAGGAAGGAGGCAAAGGAAGGAGCAGAAATACATGCAAAGTACTTGGAGGAAATAAAGTCAAAAGGAACAGAGGGCAGGAAAAAAAAGGATTAAAAAGTCAAACAAAAGGACACTGCAGAAGTCTGCTGTTTATGTGTATCATCCATTGCATATCTGAACACGAGTAATAGGCAACAACCTTTCAGACACCACAACAGCTTTTTACACCACTGCACGAGCTATAATGTTAAAGTATCATTGTCCAAAATGCCTATAACTACTACCCAGAAGACGAATTACTTATCTTCCCCCACTGTTCCTCCCCTTATTACGTGGCCCTGTAACCAATGTCTCCCCTCTCTCAAAGTCTCTTGAAAGACTTTACTGATCCCATGGTGCAGGGATTATCATGATTTTTGAAGTACTGCTATGGACCAATGATGACACTATGGAAGTAAGTTGCAATCAATTAAAGCTGTATCAATTTATATTAATGCTTTATCACTCTATATACAATAGTTCTTTAAGTTTACCATAATGCAGAAATTTAGAAGTTAAAAAATATCAGGAAAAGTTCCTGGAAAGCTGTTAGTAGTTGAGTATTTACGCATATATATTTTAAATATATAATACTTACTCGTAAGGATTGTCAGCAAAAATAGGTACTCTGCATAAGATATCAACCCTGAAATAAGAGAGTTAAAAAATTACTTGCAAAAAGAAAATACAATTATAGCAAGACTTGAAAGATCGAATCTTATAAATATAAAAAAAGTAGTTTAACATTGTATTAAATAGGTTATTAAAGTAAGCCACATTATTATTTAATAAAGTTTTTACTTCTGTTTTTAGTGCTCTGAAGGTAAAATTCCCTATCCAGAGACTCATCAATATTCATGTCTAATCAAGAAGTAAGGTTTATTTTATTAATAATAAAAGGCCTACACTAAATCTTTGGATTCTCACTGAAAACATTCAATGTTTATATAAAAGGCAAATAAATTAAATGCGCTTTGTCACATTTAGTACCTGGGAGGAGAACTACTCTAACATTACCCTGAAGGATCAAAGTCCTCCATCCTCTGGCAGGCTCGTGAAGGCGGAGAACAGCTTCCCTCTAATTCTCAAGGGGAACATGGCAACATGCAAAGCTGCCAAGCTGCTAGATTGTGCTGATAGTACTGCTGGGCCACGTGCCAAGAGGAGGCTTCTATTTTTTTTTAAAATAGGAACATGTCCTTTCTACAAGGTGAAAGTATTTTCCCCCCTTTTGAAGGAAAATTCCAGTGTTTTCCTTTGAAATGCTGCCTTAAGTGAAAAGCCTGAACAAACACAAAGATGTGATAGCGTCAAAATAGAGCGTACGAGCTAAAGATAGAGAGCGCATAACGAGGGTGGTTGAACAACAGAATCTGAACCATCTGCCCTGCAATAATGTTTGGAGAAAAAAATGTAAAGGGCTTTTTTATAAATCACTTTTCAAAATAACTGAGCTACTTTTAACTTGTGACCTAAACATTGTATAATGCTGAAGCTGTTTAAAATAATGAAGTTCAAACATGCCTATCTGTGCAAAGATAAACTATTTTTTATAATTTATATTTAGTTAATTGATTGATAAGGAATCCACTTAAGCTTCATGATAAACAATTAACTTCTGATAAATTACTATGCAGAGCCAACAGCATTTGTATTTGACCTCAAATAGTGACTTAACACTTTAAGTTTTAAGTACCAGAGTTTAGAAATATTAAATTGCTGAATGTAAGAGTCTGAAAATCCAAGAACAAGTCTTAGCTAAAGACAGGTCTAATGCTGATCCTGTTGCCAGCTCACTCTGGTTCCATATCTCAGTTTTCCTCTCCATCAAAATAGGGCTATTCACGCCATTATCCAGCATGCATCATGTGTAAATCAGCACAGTACTACAGTCATAGAATACACTGTGGAAATAAAAAATACTTTCATCTCAAAGATTTAGTTTGCTTACAAGTTTTAGGGTTACTGCCATTGCAGGAATGTAAATTATTATTTGCATTGCTGTAAAACTTGGAATCGTGTTCCTAGACAAAGTGTCTGGGATTTCTACAAACTCGAAACCAAACAAACAGAGAAAGAACTCCTATCCCATTTTTTAGCTTATACGCCTAAGACAAGATAAAAAAATGGATAGAAACAAATAGGGGAGGAAAAGCAATCAAGCAAATAGTGTGATGGGCAATGATCAAGATTCCTGCTCCCTAATTTTGTTTTCTGTGTGTCACAGCAAAAGAATGTTTAAAGGAAGAATATAAAGAAAGACAAGGAGGTAACTTTTCAACTCTATTTAGAAAACAGCTCCCAGTTGTGGACTGCAATGGTATCAGCACAAAGATCCCTGCCTGAAAATTTAACCAGCAAGTGATGAAGGCCAGCATCACTGGCCAAGGAGAAGTGGGAGTCTGCCTCTCAGCTGTCTGGAGATCTGCTGCCCAGGGATAGTCTAGGGAAGACCTGCAAGGTGAAGACAAGCAGCTTCTGCTAGATAAAACAGAACAAGGAGAGCCCAGTGTTGGGATACAAAAGAAGAGATGACACACTCAAAGGAGTCTTGTAAGAAAAACAACTTTATCAAAGCATTTGAAAGGATATTAACATGGCAGATCATGTTTGTTAAAGTCAGAGAAAAAAAAAGTTGTAATAATTGAGATACAAAATGCTGAACACCTGGAGAGTTTTAGCTATATGGGTAGACAGGGAACATTATACCTTATAAAAGGTAGGATGTAAAGAAAAGACCAATTTAGAGACAACACCCTGCTTATTGGCTCAAGGGAGAAGCATGATGGCTCTATTCCCTTGAACTGCAGAGGGCTGGAAAGAAAAGCCTTGCAAGAAATGGCAGGGGCGAGACACAGACTCTGTTTTCATCATCTTATCGTAAGCTGATTGAAAAGTCACTATAGTGAAATAGGTAAAAAGGTAAAGATAATAAAAATATGTAAAAAAAATTCTTGATTGTATTTTAAAATCTGTCTAAGCATGATGGCTCTATTCCCTTGAACTGCAGAGGGCTGGAAAGAAAAGCCTTGCAAGAAATGGCAGGGGCGAGACACAGACTCTGTTTTCATCATCTTATCGTAAGCTGATTGAAAAGTCACTATAGTGAAATAGGTAAAAAGGTAAAGATAATAAAAATATGTAAAAAAAATTCTTGATTGTATTTTAAAATCTGTCTGTGCCTTAAAGCAAATCCACAGCCTGTCTGACATTTTCTGGCAGGCTAATTATACTAATAAATTGATATATAAGATTTTTTTAACTTGTGGACTCATTTCCATAAAAATTCTTCTTTTAATTTTATTGTCCTTTTACTACTTGTAGTGAAAGGCCAATTTACCTTATTCATAAAGTAAATTAAATATTTTGGGAATTTTCTTTTTATTCTACAGTAATCATTACAAAGTTACTCAAATTAAAAGATACAATGCAACAAATCTAAAAAAAACCCCCCAAAACATAGAAAATTACATTCATGTCCAAGCAAGTTTTAGAAGATAAAAGCTTCACATTAAAAGAAAACCCCCAGCCTGTCTGACATTTTCTGGCAGGCTAATTATACTAAATTAAATTGATATAAGATTTTTTTAACTTGTGGACTCATTTCCATAAAAATTCTTCTTTTAATTTTATTGTCCTTTTACTACTTGTAGTGAAAGGCCAATTTACCTTATTCATAAAGTAAATTAAATATTTTGGGAATTTTCTTTTTATTCTACAGTAATCATTACAAAGTTACTCAAATTAAAAGATACAATGCAACAAATCTAAAAAAAACCCCCCAAAACATAGAAAATTACATTCATGTCCAAGCAAGTTTTAGAAGATAAAAGCTTCACATACTGTTGAATGACTCAGCTTACTTGCAGCCAAGTATTTGCAGTTAGCATTGGCAAAATACTGTCATTTTCTAACACTAAATGAGCCTTCCCTATCCCTCCCTGGAACTCTCTACCCTCAAACTTTATAGCAAATGCTGACAGTACAATACTCTTATTGCTGAATAAATCATAAGTATACCTACAAAACATGACATGAATTTTAAAACTGCCCACTAGAAGGCAGAATTCGCTAGCGTTACGTTTTACAAACTGGACTGACAGTTTTTCCTCTACTTGATATTTAAATAACAATTTGAAGGTAGTTAAAATAATCTCAACTAAAGAATGGAACAGGTGTAGATTCATTATTCTGGTACCTGCAAAAGCAGTATTTAATACACAAATATCTACATTTTTACATGTAATAATAATGCCTCTCAAAGCAAAAGCATCAAAGCCATTAAAGAAGCATCATGACCAAAAACTGTAAAAACTCCGTGTGTTGCGGAGACATACGGATGACTGCCCTGAATGTTCCTGCATCATCTCAAACTCCTACCTGACCTTTGAAGGACAGAGCATACGGACACACAGTCCTAAGCAAGGGGAGATCAATGCCTTGTCTAGAATGCAAAAGACACCAGGCTGAGCATACCACCGAGCCACTTTCTGCCAAGCAGTCAGCTGGGAGACGTGCAGTAAAAGGAGGCTGCACTGATTTGCTATGTTTTCACTCCCTATTGGTGGATTCCCGGTTTTCCCAGGCAGAGTGCTTTGGGGATTTGCAGCGTCAACCACTAGAAAAAGAAAGGCTCTAAAAAAGCAGGGATAGAGAAAGAATATCCAAGAATTAAAGACTGGGAATCCTTTAAACCCAATCCTGGGAAAGCACATGATGATTAGTAATTTGAAAAGGCAGGGAGTAACTATTCAATACAAAATCCAGACTTCCCTAGGATAGGAAAAAATTGTTCAGCTTGTTCAGAGATGTTTCAGGGCTGCTGGGGTATGCTGGGGCTTGCAGGAGTGGACTGACAAGCAAGGCACCCAGCTGAAGACCCCTCCACATCTGCACAAGGATGCAAGAAATGAACTGCACGCAGAAGAGGCCATGAGGCCAAAGGGCAGGAGAAATGCTGCAGGCTGAGATCGAGGGCTGCTCTCTTGCACAAGCTGCCAGCCATGCCTGGAGATTTGCTGCGCATGGAGACAGCGTGGCTCATGTCTACCACGGAACTGCAGCAGTGCAAAGGCAGCTTTATTTTCCAGAAATGTCCACGGGATAAGGGATTCAGGCAGAACCCTACCATACAGCAAGTTTGTGAATAGATGCTGTCAGTCTTTCTCATTGGTTTGGGGATTTTAGTCTTTGTAACTGGTGAAATGGTTAATTACTCATCTATTTGGTTTCCTTGATCCTCGTTTGTTTTCTCCTTTCAATTGATTTATGCTAACGAGGTGTTTATTTGGTGTTCTTTAATTCCCCGTTGTTATACAAACAATATCCCAGCTCTCAGTTTTCTCTTTACATAGCCCGATATAAGGTGGAAATGCTGGGTGAAAAGAAACCGAAGCACATAGGTGCTATGAAGGGCCACTGAGCTCCTGAAGAGAAAGAAGTAAGTTCAACTGCTTTTGGAATCAGGGATGCCACTTTACATAACTAGATACAAATTTTATTTTTATTCTTAGTTTCCGTGCATATGTTATATAGTGAAACAGCAGCTTATTAACAAGTCTTAAAAGTCCATTTTGTGTTGAAGCGATCCCTTTAGCCCCTTTCTTTTCTCCAAGTAGGCTTTCCAATTTCTTTCATGTCTCCTCCTGCACCTCAGAAGCCTTTCAATTCCCAGCCCTGCCTCTTTACTCTCTCTTGCATAACTGAGAGATTTGCCAAGGAGGCAGCTACTGGCTAGATGGGGATGAAGTCAAATCCATTAAACCTTCTTTAAAAATACATTCAGTTCATACCATATAATGAGATAAAAAGCAAGATGTATTTTTCAGTATCAAAAGTGCTCATTACCTTTATCACCAAGCTCTCTAAAAAAGGTCGGTCCTGGTTTAGCTTTGGCAACACACAGCAGTGCAGCATCTACCTCCTTTAAAGACACAAACAAGAAAATATAAAGCCAGTTTTGAAAGAGAAGTCTATTCAGTTGAGTAACAGAAAGAATGCAAGTTCTTTTGAAGAAGGAAAGGAACATTTTGCTTACCTTTTTTGTCAGTTTCTTGGCTGAGGCTTTACCTATAATAAAAAAAATCATCATCATTCAATAACAAACTGACTTTAAACTTTGATCAGGTTCTGTGGCATTTCTTCAGATTTTTATGGGAAAATGCTAAGTAATATGAAACAGAATATTTTGAAACAGGCAGTTTGTTTCTAATTCCCCCAACAATCAAGAAAGGACAACATTTAAAAATAATATGAGCAGTCTGTTCAAATGTTTTTGCAACCTAGATAAAACCACAGACCACTTTGGTATCTATGACTGACTTACTAGTGTGATTTTGCATACTGTGAGCTACAAATGTAGTACAAATTCCAAAGCAAGATTATACAGTAAGAAACAACTGTAGTATTTACAAAGGGATTTGCATGCACACATAATAATCCTTCAAGTGCAGGTTGAGTATGCAAAAGCTAAGAAATACTAAAAAAAGAGAAAAAAGAATGAAAATGTTGATGTTTGTAGTAAGCAGAAGTAAATTGACAATTCTGCCTCCTGAAACAGCATCAGATGAAACCATGCAAACTCCTAAGTGTTTATTAGTAGGTTCAAGTTTGTACACTCGAATAGGGGAAGCCATAGGTTGTATTCCTGTGTAAATCACCCGTTTGAGGAGCTGTGATGTATTATCAGTGGAACGTTTCAGCTGGTTAGGCAGGGACTACAGAAATCTTGCAGTCATGGACTGGCAGGAGCTGTGCTCCATCCTTTCTCAGTCTATCTGCCCTATCACACCAGTCTGTCTCCTCAGCACTTCTCCTCATACAGTTCTTAACCCTGTGTCCTTCACTCTTACCACTCTCAGCCCATCGCTCCCTTCCTTCATCACCAGTTCCTCTGGATTCCAGCCAGCCATTCCCTCCTATTTATTCATGCTGTGTAAGCACAAGGTGAGCTGCTTGCACTTGCTCTGAGGACCGGTGCCCCTGCATGCAGCAGCCTGCTTTGCTCCATGCTCAGACTCCAAGGCTTACTCTGCTGCTTCACGGGCATCTTGCATCCGAAGGGTCACCAGTGCAGCACTGCTGTTTGGAAGCAGACATGATGGAGGCAGCCTGGTAGGCAGCTGTCAACAAACTTCTACCATTCTCAGTAAAACGTCGAATTTCCATAATGGTGGCAAAAGACATGCCCAGCTGCAGGGGATCTCCACTGGCAAGTTTTGCCTTCGGACGAGGGAAGCTGCTGGAACATCTCAACCAGCAATGGTTCATTTTTCAGCACAGGCAAACCAGTGCCCTGGCCTCTGCTCCCTGAACTGGCAGTAACAGTTTTGCTGATAAATTCCTCTCCCCACCCCCCTCCCCCAAATCAGCCTAAGGCAGACACCTGGCACATAACATTGCAACCCAAATGTTTAAGTTTGACAAAAGTTATAAGCAACTAAAATTAGGGTTTTAATACTGGAGTGTTGAGTGACCCCAGCAACAGGTGTTACCAGCACCACCTGTTACTGTGGATGAATACATTTTTGTACAGTGTATGTACATATATTTACACACATACACACACGTATATAAAGCTATACAGATAGAAACCTTCTAGCTCAAAGGAAGTATGAAATCTCTATTTTTGCCTCATTTGACATAAAAGAAGTCAGACTAATAACAGTCTGGGAGAGCAAGTAAAAATCCCTGTATCTAGCAAGGCTGAGTGCTGAGCAGGGCGATGTAACACCACAGTTCAACACTGTTCACTGCTGCAGAGCGTTTTAATGAATGCCTATTTAGCAAATTAAGTATTCAGATCTCAGCTTTGAAATGTCACCTCCTCTGCACAGCGCATTTCAACTTGGAATTAAACTACAGCAGCTCTTTCGGCTCTGGGAGACCCACGTGGCGAGAAGCCTTATAAGAGGGAATGAGTCAGGCTGTAGGTCTGCGAAAAACAGTATGTGAAAGAAAAAAGGGAAAACCACCCTGCAGTGATTTGCACTGTAAATGCTCTCCGTAGTTGTCTGTTTTGAAGCCAGCCATGTATGCCATGCACTCTTATTTGGTTAACAGTGGCTCCACTCATTCCTTTCTGCTGGTGGCCCCAAGAGCATCACATCTGGGACGGCAACTGCTACTGCAGCAGCGTACTGGGCAATAGCATTTTGCCAGCATCCAGGAGGATGATGAAGGGAGACAAGCTGAACTCTGCAAGCTGGAACAGCAAAGGCATGAATAATTGATGCAAGGTAAGGAGAAAGCACTGGGAGCTACAGCTGAGACACTAGTTGGCCAAGTTTGTGAGGCTCTACACTTGGTTAAGTTGGTGTTTCTCCTCTTCTTGTTGTATTCAGCACAGTAATTCTGAAACACTTCAGCTACGCAGTTATAGGGAACATATCCTCAATGAGAATTACCCTACTGTGATAAAAATTAAGAAAGGGAAGGAAAATCTGTTGCAGACATGTGGACCCTATTTTCGCCAGCCCACAGTCACAACTGCAACTGCCTAGAGCTCATACAAATGGCTGCAGCAGCCATCAACATCTGCCCTCTTGCATTCAGCTATGGCCACCCTCCAGAGGACGTTTAAGATGTTGACATGCCGACTGACCTGTTTCACAGATGAAAAGACAGTAACAACAACGATACAGAGGTGCTCATGCTACCCTTGACTGGGGATCTTGGCATGGGTGAAAGGACTAGAGGAGGAGAGGAAGCATTTGCTGCATGGCAGAAGAGGAGGAGGACAGTCACATCACCCCAGGACGTGGTGACGGGCAGAACGAGGTGGGTGAGAGGCGGTCCCTACCATGGCTGACTGCACAAGGGGCTGCTGCTACAATAAAAGAGGAAAAAAAGGCAGGAGGGAAAGGGACAGATTGAGAGAGAAACAAAGACATTTCTATCTTTCTAAGTAGTAAATACAGCAGAGTAATAAATGTGGAGCCTTTTAATGGTACTCTTCTCAAATGGGCTTCAAAGTAAAAAGATTTAATAACCTAGTCAAATGAAAATGGCATACAGATGTCAGCAAGCATGTGTACTGGTAGGCCAGGAATTTTTTTTTTTTTTGGGGGGGGGGGAAGAAAAAAAAAGACATTTGGGACACTAGTGTTATTTTTCATATTGGTGTTTGTGTAAAGTATTAGAATACAATCTTATACTAATGTAATAATTTAAATTGCAGTTTTCTACAATAATTATTTGAATATTTTCTAAGAATTAATTCCAGCTATATTCTGTTGGTACTGTCACCATATAAAATCATTTGTGAAGACCCAAATCTCAGTTTTCACTTGGAAACATTAGCTACTTTTATTGTAGCACTCATAATATTCCTTGAATACTAATTTAGCTCTTGGTGCTTATTCTCTCCATTTATTCACTTCCTAACAATGAGAACCCTTTAAATACCAACAAGCAGAACTCTGTTAATACCGCACAGTACCATATCAAATGTGCAGCCCTCTGAGGAACCAGGTCTTTTAAGGCCTTGTATACAATAATTAGGAAAAGAAGGTTAACTCCTCTTTGCAGAAAATGCACTGCAAAGGTATGAACAGTTTTCTTGGCCAGTTTGGACACTGAAAAAAAAAAGCGCCTCTTTCTTTCTATCAATTAAATCTTGGTGCTGTCATTCCTGACACATGACTACAAATGTATCAGGATCTAAGGCGCTCTCTGAAGAATACAGACAATGGTCATAATTATTAGGAACTATTTAATCTAATAAGTAAAAGATCTGTACGATGCACTTTTATATAGTTTTATTCTTTTACCTTGACAGAGTCTTACTAATAGGTAAATTAATGACATATTAGAAAACATGTTTGTAGTAGTAACAGCCTTACTTTGGTATCAGAAAAAGAAACTTGGAATTTTTATTGTTTTGAACTTGAATGAATGAGAAGAAAAACAACTTTTTTTTTCCTACAGACCTGCCAAGACTGTGATGGAATTCTGGCTTAAAGGACAATGAGTATTTTCAAGGGTCTCTACATATTTTACAGATGCTATAATCTAATTTTCACCATCTATAGCGGATCCATGAAACAACAATGAGGTACAGACACACCTTTCACGGACAAAAAGCCATCTTAGCTTTTTAAGTTGAATGAACACTGAGTCTACTTAGAAACACGCAAATTCTGTGCTGTTAGCCAAGAAAGTTAGCTGACAACTGTAATTAAGAAAACACTGCCAAGAGCAGCTACGTCAGCCTTAATTTGCCCTCGGCAAACCTGGGTATTTTGTCACATACATTTCTTACAATAGAAGTGTTTCCATCATCTATCAGTTTTTTTACACTAAGATGTAGAATGGACCCGACATCAATGTTAGGATTAACATTAGGAAAGGGCTGAATTAAACAAGTACCCACTTGCACTCAGTAACACCCATTTACACCTGTATAGCTAAGGAAAGGCTTAGATCTGATAAAAGATTTTTAGAGCCGAAGAATGAACAAAATCACTAAGATCAACCATTATAACAACAACAATCAAATGCCAAAGCAAAAGTAGAGAAGTTACTACTATCTGCAAGAAAGCATAATTTCACGTCTGCAAGATTGCTCTATTTTGGTAATATGGAAATGAAAATTAATTTTTCAAACAATCTTTCTCCACAGCCTTAACTTCAAATGAGAACAGTATAAAATAGCTATCTTCTCCTAGGAGGACAAACTCTTGTCCCTTTTATCAGCAAAGTCACTGAGATGGTTTGACCAGGATCTCTTTTTAGCTCCATTTCAGATAGACACAGTGATAAACAAGAAAAATTGTCCTCCCAGTTTTTTAATTTTAGATGGCAATCATTGCTATCTTTGCTGAAGCTTGGCAAGTTCAAAGTCATACTGGGGGAGTAGGAAATAGATTTCCCCCCCCCCCCCCTGAAAAATTAAGAAGAGGACAGCATTAAGTATGCTACAATTCAACCAAACTCTGATTCTGCAAAATGATGAGTGAAACAAACCTTTTAAGCTGAACGGGATTTCAGCACAGTCGTAATCTGAGGATCAGGGCATTTTAAAACCCAAACCCACTGTGCGCAGCTCATGCTGTGGCCTTTACAGCAGA